GGAAAGGAGAGGGACAGGGGCCCGGGAATGGAGAGGGAAAGGAGAGGGACAGGGGCCCGGGAATGGAGAAGGAAAGGAGAGGGAATGGAGAGGGACAGGGGCCCAGGAATGGAGAGGGAAAGGAGAGGGAAAGGAGAGGGACAGGGGCCCGGGAATGGAGAGAGAAAGGAGAGGGAATGGAGAGGGACAGGGGCCCGGGAATGGAGAGGGCACCGAGAGGGAAAGGAGAGGGACAGGGGCCCGGGAATGGAGAGGGCACCGAGAGGGAAAGGAGAGGGACAGGGGCCCGGGAATGGAGAGGGCACCGAGAGGGAACGGAGAAGGAAAGGAGAGGGACAGGGGCCCGGGAATGGAGAGGGCACCGAGAGGGAACGGAGAGGGAAACGAGAGGGACAGCGGCCTGGGAATGGAGAGGGAACGGAGAGGGAATAGAGAGGGACAGAGAGGGACAGCGGCCTGGGAATGGAAAAGAAACAGAGCGGGACAGCGGCCCGGGAATGGAGAGGGAACAGAGTGGGAATGGAGAGGGAATGGCCCTGGGAACAGAGAGGGAACAGAACAGGGTCGGAGAGGGAACAGAGCGGGAATGGAGAGGGAACAGAGAGGGACAGCGGCCTGGGGATTGAGGGAATGGCCCTGGGAGCAGAACAGGATTAGGGAAGGAATGGCCCCGGGAACAGAGCGGGGATGGAGCGGGACAGCGGCCCGGGAATGGCCCCCGAAACCGAGCAGGAATGGCCCGGGAAGGGAAAGGGAATGGAGAAGGAACGGCCCCGGGAACAGAGCGGGACAGGGGCCCGGGAATGGAGCGGGAATCGCCGCCCGGTCTGCGCCCCTCGGTTCGGGAATGACACTGAGGGGCTGCAGCGTGTCCAGGGAAGGGAACGGAGCTGGGAACGGGCTGGAGAATTCCTGAGGGAGCTGGAAAGGGGCTCAGCTTCGGGAAAAGGAGGCTCAGGAGGGACCTTGTGGCTCTGCACAACTCCCTGACAGGAGGGGACAGCCGGGGGGATTTGGGATCTTATCCCAGGGAACAGGGACAGGAGGAGAACATCGTCTAAAGCTGCACCAGGGGAGGCTCAGGTTGGACACTGGGAAGAATTTCTTCCCAGAAAGGCGGATTAGACATTGGAGCTGCCCAGGGAGGTTTGGAGTGCCCATCCCTGGAGGTGTCCAAGGAATTCCTGGCTGTGGCACTCAGTGCTCTGGGCTGGGGGACAAGGTGGGGATCGGGCACAGCTTGGACTCGATGACTTTTTGGCTTTTCCAGCCTCGGTGATCCTGGGATTCCATGACAGACACAGCGAGGCTGCGCTGGAGCTGCGGGGATGGACACCCTGAGCCCTGCGGGCAGCGAGGCAGGAGTGGGAGCGTCACCAAAAAATGGACAATCACATCAAAAACTGGATAATCACATCAGAAAATGGATAATCACATCAGAAAATGGACAATCACATTTTTGGAAAGGTTTTGTTGACACCCACGTGCTCAGGGAGCAGCTGCAGCTCAGCAGAGTTGATCCAGCTGCCTTGGGTTTACCTGGCAGACCTCCCTAAAAATCTTCAAGTGTCACATCCCTTCAAAGAAATATTTTTAAATCACAGCCTATATTCCATTTTTCTAAGTAAAAGCTAAGGTTTTGAACCAGTTAACATTCTATGTGGGGTGGGGGAAGACAAGAAAACTGAGAAATGTTTCTGAAATAACTGATTTTTTTCTTTTAATAATTGCAAGCAGTATCTCGAACTCAGCAATCTTAGACCACTGAACATGCTAATTAATCAATTACTACCCAACAATGTGCCCTGTTTATTTACTGTACATGTGTGTAGAACAAGTAATTACTAACCATCACCAGCAACAAATTCCCCCTTCAAGTTCACCTCCCAATAATTAATAGAGCATACAGTTTAGCTTCAATATCTTTCTTTAGCAGTGGTAACAGTGGCTGAGGATGGAAAATCCTTGGGATCTGGTGCTGTGGTGAAGGGTTGGAATAAAGTATTGAACCTTAAGAATGATACAGTGCTGTTGCATTTCATTAATTACATTAATGAGGGTTGTCAATGACTGCAGTTCTTAATCCTTTGTTCATCAATATAACCGAGTCTGCAGCCTCAAATGAAATGCAGAGGAGTGTTCAGTGTAACAGGGGCTGCCTCACATCTACAGTGTCCCACTGTTACACGGATTTGATAGGAATTTTTAAGGATAGCCTTCAAAATCCAGGGATTTGTTGCCTTAACCTGGAGGGAAGGTGGTGAATTCTGATCTTGAGGTACTGGAAAGAGGGAGGGTGAACATTTCATTTCACAGTCTGGAAGTGGTTGTGTTGATAAACTGCTATTTTTTTTTTATTTTTTTTTTTGCCCTGTGCTGAGGGTTGTCATTCTAAATGTGGAAATGTGAGCTAAAAGCTTTTTTCTTTTTTTTTTTTTGCTTTAATCCAGGGCTTTAAACCCAACTGCCTAAAACAGGAGACCCAGTTTCCAGCATGATCAGCTCTGTCTTTCAGGAGAATGACCTGAAGTGTCTGTGCTGCACTCAATCCTTGCTGAAACTGAACCCACCGAGTGCTGCCACTTAAACAAACATCTCCATTGCAGCTCTGACTCCTGGGGAGCACAAATCCTTTCTTTTCATTGTCTGCATCCTCTGCAGTTGCTGCCAAACCTGCTGTCCCTCAGCTCCTTCCATGAGCATTCCTCCACTCCCAATCGAGATTTTGCCCAAATCTGGCATTTTTGGGGGCATTTTCTGATGAGAAGCCACACTTGGGCCACCTTGAATCTTTTGTTTCTGTTTTCTTCCCATCCAGCTCACGTTCTGAAATTCATTCTACACTTCAACAACTCTATTACTCTTTTAATGAGTGGGAATAAATAATCCAGCAGTGTGAACAGAATTACATTCAGGACTTTTTTAACAATAATTATAATTTCATTTTAAATCTGCAGCACTGCTAAAAAAAAAAAAAAAACCACACATTTTTTTGGCACCAGCAGCATGGGAGCTGAATGTGAGAGACTGCAAAGCATTTTCAATCCTTCCATCAGCTCAAGGCTCAGAAGTGTTAGTAGTAATTAAAAACTTTTTTCTTTTCCCCCCCCTCCCCTTTAAAATACATTTCACACTTTGGCACATGCTGAGAAATCTCTCTCACCACGGGAACTTTCAGGTCACTTGTTTTCTGCAGGAACAGGTACAGTTTTCTTTTGTTAGGGTAGAACAAAGCCAGAAGGAAGTGCAGGTTTCATTTCCTCCTAGGACACTGCAGTCTATTAAGTGCCAGTGAACTAATGAGCCTCTCAGACCTTATGTTGTTCTGGCTTGGATCAAAGCTTCCTTTTCCTTAACCCTTTGGAAACCGGCTCAAGTGCAGCTAAATTCCACCTTGGGAAAAATCTCTGTGAGCTCTGAGCTATCCAAACCCAACAGCAATAAAACCAATAAAAAACAATAAAATTTAAAATACTCCCGTGGATTTTTAGTTGAAGAGGGAATCGGCGTTTATGTAAATGTTTTCATCTGCAATCAATTAATTCTGTGATCAAAGTAAGAGAGGAAAAAAAACTCCACACACACACACACAAAAAAAAAAGATGTCTCATGCTGAGGGATCAAAGATTTGCTGTCAGAAAAATCGGCTGCTGATCTCGTGCAACTGCTTGGTCTCAGCATTTGTGTTAAAACCGCTTTTACCTGAGCTTTTTTCGGGAAGTAAATAATAAGATTTCGAAGCCACACGCTGAACTTCAGGAATGACATGAACAGGGAGGGACAGGAGGAGCATTAGGAGGATGCACAGGAAAGGTTGGACATTCCCCAGGCAGCGATCACAGAGATTTTTCTGTCTCACTTCATGTCCCACCAGCCCAGAAGGAAAACCAAACCTGCTCTTACAGACGAGGAACATTTCCAGAAGCGGATGCAACGAGGCACTTGAACATTTTCTGGTAACTATTCTTTCAGAGCATCTGCTTCCCAACGTTGTTCTTCTTCCCATCTCAGTTGGTTTTCTGCTGTAATTCCTAGAATTGCTTCAATATCTCGAATTGCCATCTGTAACAGATTCCAGGAATAGAAATTATTTAATTTAATGGAATCCGCAGCTGGCAGTGCCTGCCTTGAACAGGTAACAGGGTCACACAGGACAGGATGCACCAATTAAATTTAATATTACTTTGGGGACACTTGAGGGAATTATTAGTAAATATGTACAAATCCCAGGTAAATAAAAATACAATTTGTACTCCTAATTAACTAACAGGTGTTTTATTTCACATATGTTCACTCACAATGAAGAAAAGTTCTGCTTTCTATTTTTCTTCAGTGCTTGCTTTTCATTCCCTCATATTGAAAAAATGGGAATTTTTTGTTGTTGCTGTTTTTTATTCTGTAACATGTGGAAATTTAATTATGTCTTCCCCAAAATCTGTCATTTCACACTCTACTTGCAAACCTAGTCGGGGCGGAAAGAATCTGCTATAAATTATGTGACACGACTGAAAATACAAATCTAACACAGACACAAAACACACCCAGAAAGTTTTTATAAAAAAGTTAAAGGTGATGCAGCTCAGCAAAAGGAATCCCAGTGGGGGAACCGAGCAATTCTCTGGAATCAAAAACCAAAAAGCTTTGGAAGGAAGGTTTGGATTCCTGATTGCTTCCCTGGCTCCTGGGACAGCGAGGAGGGGAAACCTCCCCGGCCTGAGCTTTGTCCTCCCCATCCAGGGATGGGCAGAGCCAAAGAGCCGAGAAAAACGGGAACAAAATCCACGTGGGAAATCGAGGCATTGGCAACAAACGGTTTAGGGGCCGCCTGCTCGAAAAAGAAAATCAGTGTTAACAATCCAAGCAGTTACTACCGACTGAGAAATTTGTTTCTAATTTAAGATTCTTACCTTGATGGCGTGCCTTTAAAATAAAGCAGGCAATTGTGACAGAAGCGTGTGAGGCAGTGCCAACAGCTCCTTTGCTCTTCCAAAGGACACTCGGGAGCATTAGATTATAAATAATTTCACTCTCAAGGATGTCTCTCTTTTCAAAGAAAAAGTTTCAAACTTCAAATTTAACTAACGGGTTCCGTGGGAGACCGACTCCGCTGACCCAGACACTGTAAAGCACCCACAGGCAGCGATAAAAAAGGGATGGTTTAGCACTTGTTTATGATCCAGCATGAGGTATTTGCAGGCCTTGTACAGAAATTAACCGGGATCGTTAGTTAATTAACACCTCACCTTAAAATTGGTCTCGCCTTGCATATTAGGTGCTGATATTTCTTGATGGATGATGAAGAGATGGTGAGCAAAGGTCAGGAGGACCCCCTGGAGATCGTCTCCGATTGTTCTGTTAATGATATCCAAACAAATGAGTTTACCAATGATTCCCTTCACATGCTTAAAAACAATCGCCCTCTCATTTGTGCCTGCCTGGTGCTGGAGTTTAATGAGCATTTTCAATCTCTCACGAGGTGAAAATCTTCAGGGAGATTTGAAAGATGAGGCTCCATTTTAACTTGTCAACGGAAAGGATTTGTGTAATAAATAATTTTTATTAATCAACTGAGCAGAAGTAAGCAGAGAGGTTTCAGCTACTCCAAGTAAAAGGTGGCAGCTGAGGAAGGAGTGAGGCAGCAGAACACTCGAAACACCCACATCAGTTGGGGGAAAAAAAAAACTGTTGCTCCTGCCTAAAATTTGGGAAAGAAATTTCAGCAGGATCAACACTTTTCTTAAGATTGTTGCAGCTTTTGAGGCTTTGGTTTCTCAGTGATCCACAAAGATTCCCCACACCTTAAGGAACAGGGGATTGCACTGGGGAATGATGTGCCTCGTGTACTAGAATCGACCACAGGTCTCTGATGGAATAAAACGAGTAATTCTCAGAGATGTTTCGGGGATTTCAGTTATTCTATAAGCTCCAACTTGCACAATCTTGAAAATATTTCCCAATTAAGGTTATGAAATTGCACTGAAGACGTGATGGCAGACAAGAGGAATCCTCTTTGCTGCAAGTTGAGTTTATTTCTTCTTGTCCTACTACTAAAAAATCGGAATTTTTCCTTCCTGCAGAGGCTTTTTCTGTGCTGGGGGATGGTTAGCAGACCCCACTTGTGCCCTTGAAGCTTTTCCATGTCAGTCACGAGCTCGAAATATTTCCATTGCAGGATTTCTTCCAGCACCTCCCAGGATTGTGGCAGCATTGGATTCACAGATCCTGCTCCCAAAAACCTCCTCGTGTTCATTACTGCTCTCTAAATGCAATTCCTTCCACCTGATTCCAACCAGAGCTAATTCCATTTCTCACATTGCTCCTTCAATTTGTGGAGGTCGTTTGGAATTCTGTCCCTGCCCTGCTCAACACTTGCAGGGCCTGAAGAAGCTGTTTTGTTATCCAATGATAATGAAATAACTGCAGCATCCCAGGAATACAGAGCAGGCTGAGAGCAGAACGCTGCAGCTCCTCACTTATTGCACCTGATTTGGGCAGGAAACTTGGGCAAGGACAATCTAAAAAAGGCATTAAATTCACCCTCCTTTGCCTCGTGGAAGTCAGCTTTGTAACAATGGGTTTGTTTTGGTTTAGGGTACGTTTGGGAGGAAACTTTTGAATTTTTTTTTTTTCTTTTTAGGAAACAAATTGAAGTGGATTTTAAAAAAAAAATTGGTTTGGGAAAAGATTTTTTTGGAGAGAAGTGGAAAAAAAATTGTTTATTTAACAGGCAAAGTATTTTTCAGTATAAAAATGAATAATATTAAACAATTCCTGCCCTTCTTTTATGACTGAAATGCTCAAAGGCTCCCAAAAACTCTGCCCAAGGCCAATCCTGGGAACAGCGAGGACATTTCTGTGAGCAGGAGGTGACACTCAGGTGTCCAGGCTGTTCATTCCCTGCCTGGCCTTTGGCAGAGCTGCTCCAGTGTCACCCCTGCA